TAGTGGTAGTGGTGGTGGTTGTGGTAGTAGACAGCTGTAGCGGTTGCCCTAAAAACCTTAACCGTAGTGATCGTAGAAGTTGTACTAGTCGTGGGTTCTGTTCGTGCTCGTGTGGTTCGAAACCAGTCCTGTATCCGGCTATGCTGCATGGCAGGGTGCTATTCCAGACTTGTGTTCGAGCGCCTGCATCTGGCAGTACTGTAGAATTAGAAGCCTTATAAATGAGTTAATAAGTAGTAGCTTTCCCTTATGACCCTTATACAACTAAAGTAGAAGCTTTACAATAAGTAGTAACAATCCCTTGTGATCCCTATATAACTACAGATAGTAACCATGGTTACTTTGTGGATTTTAAATATAGAACTTGCTAACCCCCAAACACAGGAACTACAAAGGAGACTGTAGGGTTTAGGGTTTAGGGTTTAGGGTTTAGGGTTTAGGGTTTAGGGGGTTCCTTATGATAATTTCAATATAACATACCCCGAAACCCTAGTCTAATTGTTAGGCCCCGATATCCTCGAACCCCACTAATAGATTCAATAGATCCCTTATAGAACTCTTTGGAGAGCCCTTAAAGGAATCCCAAAAAGCACCCATTCTAATAGGTATATAATGCTCCTATACTGTTGATGGACAAAATTCTGCATGACCCAAATATAGTATAGTACCATAAATCCCATAGTTTAGGTGAAAAAAAAACCCATGCAGGATTTTGTCCATCAGCCGTATTACGCTGTTGGGGAGGTCTTCCCTGGAAGCTCTCTGAGCTCTGCACGTGGCCGGGTGCAGACGCAAAGCCCTCGACGGGAGTAGTTTTCCGCACCGGGTTCCTAGGGTTCGCATTGCTAAGGGTTTAAGGGTGTAGGGGTTTAGGGTTTAGGGGTTTAGGGTTAAGGGGTTTAAGGTTCAGGGACGGTGGCTCGTGAAGAGGTTTCCTTTGGAGGTTCCTTCATTGGCGAGATTCGTGGCCTCTTTCCACATGGATACAGTGGTGCTTGGTCTCCTGGTTCTTGGAAAAGGTTCCTCGAATGTCGTTCGTGGGGTTCAGGGTTGGAAGATTCAAAGTTTAGGCATAGGGAGAAGGGTGGGTAATTTAAGAACCCAACACCCACTTTTTTGTAGGCTCTTATTACAAACCCTAATATGGGATTTATAGGGACCCTACAAAAAAGTAGGTTTTGGGTTCTTAAGGTATAGTACAATTCATGTAAGGGTGTCATGTACAAGGTCTTTCCTCGGCAGGATGTAGAGATTCCGCACGACATGTTTTGCAGCTTGCTTCAGATGTTGAGGTTGTTTTGCGGGGGTTGTTGTACGAAGTCAGAGTCTATAGCAGGACCCTCAAGGACAGCTTCACATGTACATTGCAACATCCGCTCTATACTCTGCACAAGTGACAATTACTCTGATTTCCGCACTATAACTTAGGAGCCCAATAGGTAAACTTTCAACTATTTTGGTATATTAAACCCCTACTGAAAGAACAGTTTGAACTTTTTTGGGCCAGGGTACTGGGCAGCTAAGATAAGGTCTTCCCCTCCGCACCCGGAGACGCTGTCATTCGTTGTGTATCATTCCCTAAGGGCAATCCGGATCAAGTCCGACCAAAACCCTAACCCTGACCCTGACCTTTAAACCCTAAATCTTGAACCCTAAATCCTAAACCCCAAACCCTGAACCCCAAACCCTGAACCCTAAACCCTAAACCCTGGAACCCGGAGCCCCAGACTCTAACTCCTGACCTTCACTGAACAATGACCCCTAAATCCTGATTCCTAAACCCCAAACAATGCGGGGGTTTCCGAAAATAGGGGACCCTAATATAGTACCCTAAATAGTAGGATCCTTATTGTAAGGACCCCCAAATAAGGTACCCCTAATTTTCGGAAAGTCCCATGTGGACCCTGCGCCCACTTCTCGCGCTGGCCTGCACCGCGCTGGGCGCGGGCGTCGAAGAGGCTCAATGAGCTTTCTTACTAGGGGGTGGTGTTGGGGGTGCTCTTTAAAGGGGATTCTTTAAGGGTTCTATAAGGGATCTACGAAGGTACTTTAAAGGGTTTAGGGTTTAGGGTTTAGGGGATTCTATAAGGGATCTATGAAGGTACCCAGAGGCCCTAAAGTGGTCCCTTTTTGGGGGTTCGTATATAGAATCCTATAAGGTAATCCCAAAAAGGAACTACTATGGGGCCTATGGGTAAGGGTTCTAAGGTTTAGGGATTAGGGTTGAGGGTTCAAGGTACAGGGTTTGAGGGTTTAGGGTTTAGGGCCTTTACCTGCAGTCTCCATTGAAGTTCCTTTTTACGGCTACCTTGTAGGATCCTAGATATAAACGAAGTATAAAGTTGGTTACGCAGAAAAAGGAACTACAATGGAGACGAAAGGTAAGTAAACCAAATCTAAGACATTTTCAGGTGGGTAGTTTCCGTTATAGGAGCCTTATAGAAGGTCTATACAGCTTATAGAAGCTTTATAGAAGCCCTATATACCCTAAACTCCCCACCTGTAGTTTCCTATAACCAAACCATACTCGCAACACAATGGAATGTCCAAGGCCTAAGCCTTTCAATCCCAAGATCCTATAAACGCGATGGGAATCGGAAGCCCTGTATGCCCCAAATGGTTTAAGGACATGTTTATAGAAATCAGAATCAGGAACCCTAATCATGCAGGGTTCGGGTATATTCTCTTAACCACTCTGAGCCTTATAAGCCCTAAAACCCTGATAAAAAGGCAGTAGAAAGCCCAAACATGTCAAGTCCTAAGCTCCTCTTAAGGTGTAGGGTCTAGGGTTTAGGGTTTAGGGTTTAGGGTTTAGGGTTTAGGGTTTAGGGTTTAGGGTTTAGGGTCTAGGGTTTAGGGTTTAAGGTTTAGGGTTGAGGGTTATAAGCCTCTTCTGTCTCAGGACTTTAGGAGGGACACCATAATAGGGACCCTTAATCCCATTACCTTAAATAACCATTGTATAGTCCTTATATACCCCTTATATAGCCAGGTAGTCTCCATACTAACCACAATAACCTACAAAGGTCCCTATTAAGGGTCCTTCCTAAAGCCCTTAGATTCTGGTCCTTGCCTACACTGGACTTCGGTTCTGGCATATGGGGAAGTTTCATCGAAACTTAGAGAGCAGAGCGTTCCCTCGATGCGGGGCTGCAAAGAGTAGTAGAATTCGAAGCACGGTTAGGGTCCGAACAGTTGGCCTTTATGTTTCCTTCTAGTTCTTTATAACCGAACTATAAAATCTATACCGGAACCCTTTCTAGTTCGAATTCTTCAGACATGTGTGTTGTAGGGGTTTGAGGTTGTGCCAATCTCCACAGTCACGTCGAAGACGTCCTAAACCCCGAACCCCAAACCCTAAACCCTAAACCCTAAACCCCGAACCCCAAATCCTAAACCCTAAACCCTAAACCCTAAACCCTAAACCCCGAACCCCAAATCCTAAACCCTGAACCCGCACGGGGAGCTTGAGAACCGTTGGGAGCTGAGGTCTCCTGGTTGGTTGGTTTAGGGTTTAGGGTTTAGGGTTTAGGGTTTAGGGTTTAGGGTTTAGGGTTTAGGGTTTGGGGTTTGGGGTTTAGGGTTTAGGGTTTAGGGTTTAGGGGAGCTTGTGAGAAATTAGTATAATTTACCGTTTAGAGCTCAAGGGTAGGAGTTCAGGGCTTAGGGTTCTGGGTTAGGTCTATAGACTCTAGGGTTTTGGGTTAGTCAAGGGGTTTCCTAAGCGCTGATCCTTTGATGATGTCCATGCTGAATAAGAATGATCGTTGTAGTTATAAGCATGATCCGATGTTGATTGTCTGCGTTGCTGTACACAACTTCATTCAACTGATGCAAGTATGAACAGAATATAAGCCGGAACCCTATACTAAACCCTCCAAACCCTTAGCCCTCTAAAGCCTAAGCCCTAGAAACCCTAAACCTTATAAACACTATAAGCCCTAGACCCTGTAAATGCTAAGCCCCGTAAGCCCAAATCTTTCAAACCCTATAAGCAATAAACCCCACCATAAACCCTGAACCCTATAAACCCCTAAGCCCCATAAACCCTGAACCCCTTCAACCCTAAGCCCACTATAAACCTAAGCCCTACGGGCCCTATAAGCCCTAAACCCCCAAACCCTTTAAACCTTTTCGGGTTTAAGATTTAGGGTTTAGGGTTTAGGGTTTAAACCCTAAACCCTAAACCCTAAACCCCTAAACCCTAAACCCTAAAGCCCAGAATATTAACCCAGCTGCGCAGCCCATTTGCCGCCTTCGGGGCGCCCGTCGCGGCGTCCTCCGCTCGGCGGATCTTTGCCTGGGTGCCTTAGCCAGGAATTAGTTTAGGGTTTAGGGTTTAGGGTTTAGGGTTTAGGGTTTAGGGTTTAGGGTTCAGGGTTTAGGTTTAGGTTTAGGTTTAGGTTTAGGTTTCGGGTTTTGGTTTAGGGTTTAGGGGGTTTAGGGTTTAGGGTTGAGGGGCCCTGGGAGTAGGGATGATGACTTCAGGCCTGGGAGCGATGGCTCTTAGGGTTTAGGGTTTAGGGGTTTAGGGTTTAGGGGTTTAGGGGTTGAGGGGTTTAGGGGTTTAGGGTTTAGGGAGGGTTTCGGGTTTAGGGGGGTTCTTCTAGGGTTGCTTCGAAGGTTACCTGAAGGGCTCTATAGGGTTGCAGGCTGTTGGGTTTTTTCAGGAGTTGGAGAGCTTTCCTGTCGGAATGACCGGTTCGGGAGGGGTAGGAGGGCTGCAGGGTCTTGTAACGGTTCAGGAGTAGTTATAGCTTGTGTCCCCCTATTGATCTTTCTATACTTAACTGAATTTCCCTAAACCCTAAACCCTAAACCGAATAGAACAATTTCTGGAATAAGCCCAGCGAAAGTGAGCCCAAGGCCCGGGTGACGTCGCACTTGCGCTTGGCGTTTCCGGCGCAGGGAAGACGACGTCACTGGCCTTTCATATTGGGGATGTGGGTTTAGAATCAAGGACTTTAGGATGTAGACCCTGGGCTTCATAGGTATTTTGGCGATTATATCGGTGATGTAAAACTTAATGTTATCTCTTGCTTGAGATTTAGACTTGGAATCCGCAGAAGAAACGTCGGGTGATTGCGCCCAATGCTTTACATCGGCAACCGGAAGTCTTTATTGGGGAAATGTCGTGGTAGGGGTTTGATGAGGTCGTTTGTGGGTGTTCCTGGATGGCAAACTCTTACCCCCCTTAACCCTAAACCCTAAACTCTGACGTAGTTGAACCCCAAACCCTAAACCCTAAACCCTAAACCCCATAAACCCTATAAGCCCTAAACCCTGAACCCTGACGTAGTTGAACCCGAATGGTCATGTCCGGAGCCGCATGAGATGCCGCGAACCACGGGATGAGATGAGAAGGACTAGCTCAGTAATATGGGGTCGGAATTATGTGTAACGGTTTATGGTTCAGGGTTTAGCGTTAGCCCCTACTTATGCTCCACATAAAACTGAAGCAGAATATACACCAACACCGAAACTCTTTTCTCTAATGATTCAGGCCCCTTACTAAACCCTTATCGTAACTCAAGCCTTATAGAACCCTTTGAGGGAACCTCAAAACAACCCGATTCTGGGCCAGGTTTCTCAGACGCAGCTTCCTCACCTGGCTTTCACCCTACAAACACTCAGGAAGCCCCTTCCTCTAAATCTTGAGAAGGCGGGCTCCAAGGGACCCTGAACCCTTACCGGTCTGGGGTTTAGGATCTAGGATTTAGGGTCTATAGGGTTTAGGGTCTAGGATTTGTAGGGTTTAGGGTCCAGGGTCTAAGGTTTAGGGTTTATAGGGTTCAGGAAAACCCGGAAACATCGTATGAAGCCTTGCAAAACCAAGAGCCACGTGTCTGCTAGGCTACTGGAGCTCCTATCAGAAGGCTCCGCTGAGGCTGCTGCTGCTTGGATCGGAAGATGCTTCAAGGTTTAGGGTTTAGGGTTTAGGATGTTAGGGTTAGGGTTTAGGGCTTAGGGCCTCGAGTTCATAGGAAGTTAGGGTTTTCGGATGGGAAGATGACTCTGCATGCCAGGTTCCGCAACAGGCTCCTGAAAGGGTTCCATAGGGATACGAGTAGGGTCTAGGAGTTTAAATGTCATGCGACTTAGTAACGACGGTTATAGGCAAGGCATCAACTATAGCTGTAGATAATTACAACCCCAATCAAATACACTTACAAGTTTACATGCCCAGTCACCTAAACCAAAAAACCCTGCCGAACTCTTGCAGAACCCCATAAAGCCTATAGAGACCCCTTAGGTTTAATCCTATACAATAGAACCCTGGAGCGGCCCTATAGCCTCGATTGCCATGTCTGCATATCCTCCATCCTTACCGGCCTTATATAGCTGGACTACTGCATACCAGATTCTGCTCTGCGCCTAAATGATTGTTTAGGATTTAGGGTTTAGGGTTTAGGGTTTAGTGTATGGCCCAGAATTATGGGGGGCTTGGGGTACTGGTAGATCAGGGGCTCGAGGTATAGGGTTTTGAGGTTATACCCTAAACCCTAAACCCCTAAGCCATATTGGGTTTGGGGGTTTTCGGATTTCGGGTTCAGGCACTTGGGGTCTGGTTTGATTTTCGGGGTTTGACTGTTCAGGAGTTTGGCTTTGATCTGGTCTTCCAACTTCGTTGGGTTCGCCGGGCACAGGGGTCTATGTGCCCAAACAGTAACCCTAAACCCTAAACCCTAAACCCTAAACCCTAAATATACACTTTGGCCCCAAAGGACCCATGCAGGGACCACATGAAGGCCAAAGTCTATTATACTATTTGAGTACATGGACCCTTATACCCTAAACCCCCAGAGAAATTTTAAAGGAACCCTTAAAAGAACTCTTAAAGGTACCCTTGAAGGAACCCTTAAAAGAACCCTTATAGGGTACCCTTAAAGGAACCCTTAAAAGAACCCTTAAAGGAACCCTAGGGCACATGGACTCGGACCCTCAGGGCAGAAGCTTTTCCAGAGCCCCGGGTCGCCCCGAAGGCCAAGAGCTGAATGCCGAAAGTGGGTTTAGGGTTTAGGGTTTAGGGTTTTTAGGTTTAGGGTTTAGGGTTTAGGGGTTTTAGGTTTAGGGTTTTTAGGTTTAGGGTTTAGGGCTTAGGGTTAGGGGTTCAGGGTTTAGGGTTTAGGGCCTAAGGTTCAGGGTTTAAGGTTTAGGGCTTAGGGTATAAGGTTTAGGGTTTAGGGTTTAGAGTTTAGAGTTTAGGGCTTAGGGTTTAGGGTCCTAACCACAAGCAACCCGAACAAGCTACAGCCAGAACCGCAACAGCCCTTAAACAGCCAAACCACAGACACGTTAAACCAGAAACTCTAAATCCTTAAACTCTAACCCCTAAACCAGAAACTCTAAATCCTTAAACTCTAACCCTGCCCAGTGGAGGCCTAAAGCCCTAAGGCCCTCAACACGGAAACCTGAAGCCCTAAAGACCGAAACCTAAAGCTGCAGAGCCCTGAAGCACCCTCACACTCCGAAGCTCTTCCTGAACCTTAAACCCCAAACCCTAAAGCTTAAACCTTAAACCCTGAACCTTAAGCCCTGAACCCTAAACCCCAAACCCTAAACCCTAAACCCTAAACCTAAAAACCCTAAACCCTAAAGCCGAATCCCAGGATGAGCTGTACCTCCACCCAGACCTATCCGTTCCCCTGGAGGCTCGAAACCCTTCAAATCCTGGAGTTGTAGGGTTCCTCACTGGATGACCTCCCCTGAACCCCTTGACTCCTAAGCCACTAAACCCAGATACCTGAACCCTGAACCTCAACCCCTAAACCCTGAACCCTAAACCCTAAACCCCATAAACCCTAAACCCCATAAACCCTAAACGGTAAACCTTCTAAACCCTAAATAACTCACAGACTTCCGAGGGCCTATGGAAGACAGCTGGAAGGGAGATCATACCACCAAGAACGGTTTCAGGGTTTCAGAGGGCTTAGGGCTTTAGGGCTTTAGGGCTTTAGGGCTTCAGGGTTTTAGGGTTAGGGGGGTTTGGCTTTGGGAGGTTTTAGGGTTTAGGGTGTAGGGTTCAGGGGAGTGGTTCGTGTAGACCTCTTCGGGGTAAACTGGCTGGGAGGCCAAGGGCAAAATATCGCGATCGGGTTTTTTCAGCAACACTGCCCCGCATGGTCTCTCTGTACCCATAGGCCCTAAAGTAGTCTCTTTTTGGGGTTCCTAAATAGAATCCTATAAGGTAATCCCCAAAACGGGCCTACTATGGGGCCTATGGGTAGGAATCCCTAAACCGAAAACCCTAAACCCTAAACCCTAATCCCTAAACCCTAAACCCTAAACCCTAAACCCTAATCCCTAAACCCTACTCCCTAAACCCTAAACCCTAAACCCTAAGGTAATCCCCAAAAGGAACGACTATGGGGCCGATGGGTAGTTCTTACACTTGTGGCATGATGTGCCATCCCAGAGAGCCTTCTATCCCTTTGGGCTTTCCTTAGGAATCCCGTTTCGATTTAGGGTTTAGGGTTTAGGGTTTAGGGTTTAGGGTTTAGGGTTTAGGTTTAGGGTTTAGGGTTTAGAGTTTAGGGTTTAGCTAACACCCTGCACCCTGAAAGCATTACCCATAGGCCCTGAAGTAGCTCCTTTTTTGAGGGAGTTCATGTTTAGAATCCTGTTGGGGGATCACAAAAAGGAACTAGTATGGGGCCTGTGGGTAAGCCCTACTAAGCAGAATATGCTCAAACCCTAAACCTTAAACCCTGAACCCTAAACCCTAAGCCCTAAACCCTAAACCCTAACTCCCTGATGACCTGAAGGTGCCTAAACCCTGACCCTAAGCCCGGGAAGGTGCTCGATGGAGATTCGGGAGACAGGAATGCCGAAGAGGCCTCAGGGTTTAGGGCTTGGGGTTTAGGGTTTAGGGTTTAGGGTTTAGGGTTTTTAGACTATAATCAGAGTAAGAGTACATACCTCTATTTCTACCTTAAACTCTAGACCCTAAACCCCAAACCCCTGAACCCGAAACCCTAAACCCATTCTGAATGCTTGGCAGTTCAGAATTGCAGGTTTAATACAGGGACCTTATCTTTTAGACTGGGGCTTGGGGGGTCCATTTCACAATAATAGTAAGGAGCCCCAAGGCCCCTGTACTAGGGTTTTGAGGCCCCCCGGAAGACCGAAGGTTGCCAGGATTGGAGTGAGGGGTCTGGGGGTTCGGAGGCTTCAGGTTTTTTTTTTTTTGGGGGGGGGGGATTCGGGGTTCAAGGGGTTTAGGGGTTTAGGGTTTAGGGGTTTAGGGGTTTAGGGGGTTTAGGGTGTGGGGTTCGAGACTAAGGCTTTTTGTTTTAGGATTCAGGTTTTAGGGTTGCCAAGGGACCATCAGCCGGTCACTCCGTGCTCAAGCTGATGCAGCCCTAGGGATGTGAAGGTTGTCACTCCTGTGAATAGGATTTCGGACTGCTTGTAGTATTGTCACTAACATGAGCCGTAGCGTGGTCTTGACCCCTCACGCCCTAAACCGTGAATCCTGAACCCTAAAACCTAAACCCAAAACCTTAACGCCCTAAAACCGGAAACCACATTTCTGTCGCCCCGGCATTGATGGCAGAAGTGTTTGCAGACCGCTCGAGTGCGAGGAAAGGTGCTGATTCCGGCTGTATGGATTATAGTAGTTGATCTCGGCTGTATGGTTCGAAACCGACTTCTCCAGGCCTACTGCACGCGGATAGTCTGGCCCAGCGATCGATGGCTTCATTTCGGCTTGTGCTTCACCTTGAACCCTAAACTCTAAGCTCTGAACATTATGTGCAGTCCGAAAAGAGCCCTGAGACAAATGTTGTAAACATGTCTATGATAAGCTTCGGTAAACCTATTGCACACGGGTAGCCTGGCCCCACGATCTCACCTAAAACCCTAAGCCATCAACTGTATTCCTAAACCCTAAACCCTGA